CGCAAATCGGAGTAGCCACACCATCAGCTGGAGTTGGACTGAGTTAAGCAGGGACATAGCTGCAGCATCTGGAGGGATACAGCAGATGCACCATAGTGCTGTACCTCCAACAACCCTCTGCATCACCTGCGCCCTTTGCTTCATAGCACCACCCTTGGCTCGAAAGATGTGCTTCAACTCCCAGAATTTTGATCGTGCTCGGGTGGCAAGTGGGGAGACCATGTCACAAATTGACATACCAACCCTGAGAGTGAGCCCCATAACTTCGAGACAGTCCGTGGCCTCAATCCGCTGCCCGTCGATCCGAATAGCCCTGTCGCCCTGCACCTTCGGGGAAGCGTATAGCTGGCACTTGCGAGGGTTCAGCCGTAGGCCATACCGAGAGAACTCTGCAGCTAACTGCTCAACCCTGGTCTGAATGACAGGAAGGGACCCTTGCCACAACATGCCATCATCCATGTACAACATCTCCTCCGATGGCAGGTCAGCAAACAGGGACCCTCTGGCATGCCAACTGTACTTCTCAATGGCCTCTGCAAGTGCAAGCTCCGCCACCCAGGCAAACATAGAAGGCGACTCTACGGCCCCCTGCTTTATGCCAGTGTTCATGGCCACCTCCGTTCTCCCCCATGGTGTTTGCAGAATGCCAACCGTATCCCGCAGCAATCCCCGCCAGCAATTCATTTCCGGCCCTGCCCCAAGTTTTTCCTCCAGGCGATTCAACAAGGATGTTCTGTCCAACTTGTCGAAGGCCTTTTCCAGGTCTAACTTGAAAACCGCAAAGGGTACCCCCCACTCACGGGCAAGCTCAAACATGCGGATTATGCTGAACAGGTAGTCCGCGGTCTGTCTGGTGGGGCCACAACACTGTTTGCTGGTGAAGGGGCGGATGTGGGGAAGAGCACGATTCAACAGCAGCCGACTAAAGAGCTTGCTGACCGCCGACCCCATAGCAATCGGTCTGAGGTCTTTTGCGGCCTTCGGGGCTCGGATTTTGGGAAGCATGACCAGTATGGGCCGATTCCACTGCTCCGGAATGACCTGAGTAGCTAAAATCCTGTTGTACCATTCAAGAAGATGACTTTCCCCTCCAGGAACTTGCATCAGGCCCAAAATCAGCTCTGTAGATGTGCGATCGGCTCCTACACTTTTGCCACGTTTGAGTTGACCGACTCCCTCTCGGAGCTCTTCGACCGTGAAGGCTTGGACCTCCCCTTTCCACGGACCCTCTATGCCTGGTACTTCTACACCAGCATACACCTGGGATAGATGATCATGCACCACCTGATGAGGATCTCTTGTTTGAGCTTCAGCGAACCCTACATCCACCCTTCATGCCGTTGAGGCTTGAGAGCTCGGAAAGCCGCCCAGTCTCCCTCACTAGCTCGGACAAGCCGCTCTTGCTCCCATGTCCTTCGGGCCTCCTTTCGCATCTTGAGGGCCTTCTTGCACAGGATTGCCGTGCCCGACCGCTTGGCAGCCTGGAAAGCTTGCTTCACTTCTTTACTGTCCTTGTACCCTCGCCCCGGCACTTGTTTGGTACAGGTCGCTGCTAGGGATTCCACGACGGATTGGTCCAGGAAGTCAATCTGCTCCACCCCTCCTATCCACATGCGAGGCCCAGTTTCATGCCGAGGGTACCTGCGTTTTGGGTCCACCGAGAGACGGGCATGACACAATTCGTGATCAGTCCCAAGTTTCATGTACGACCCTTCGTGTATATGCCAGCACTGAAAACGAAACCCTTTGAAGCCCATGACGTCGATGCACTGTCCTTGCCTCCCGTCTTGCCGAGGCCTACTTGTGGGAGTACGAAGTTGGGTAGAATCAGGGACCCCCATGACGAAGCCCTTCTCAGTCAGCATCTGATGTAAGAAGCCACCCTTGCCCTCCTTAGGAACAATGGTAATCCCATCACCATCTTGCGTCCATGTGAACCCTGTGTTGACATCCCCAAGGTAGGCCACCCTATGTGCAGAGCCGGGTAGAGCGTCGAAATGGTCCTGCACCTCTACCTCATACTGCGACAAGTTGCACCCCGGTGTGAAATGCGAGGTCCCGACCCAGATCTCCAAGTGCGCCTCCAGGTGCCGGAGCTTGAACCACGTCCCCTTAGCCGAGCCATGCTTTTTGAGAACACACCAGGCACCTTGGTCGTACCAGAGCCCAGTCCCTCTCCACTGCTTGTCGGCCCTATGAGTGACGACTTTCTTCCCCTCAAGCTCTAGAAAGGTCCAGCCCTCCCTCTCGCGCGGCACTTCCTGAAGTAGCACTAGATCGTCTTTTTGGACTTGCTCTTCAATGGAGTCACGAATTGCCTTCGGCAAGTCAGGCAGGTCCGCTCCACCCACATTCCAGCTCAACACCCTAATGCTTTTCAGGACATCGTGCGGGGCAGGGATCACACATGCCGGGCCCGAAGCGAGTTGAGCCAACCCTTTTGCCTGATGACTCGGTGCATCAAAATGTTCCAGACCAGGAGGTCCATCAAGTGGCCCCCCATCCACGGTTCAGAACTTGTGCTCAGCGACCAATTGCTGCAGGTCCCCAAGCTCAACATTTAGCCATTTCGACAGGGTCCGCTCATCCAGCCATCCACTTCCACCCTTGGTGCTGACAATCCTAGCCCCATGCACCTCGTCCGGAGGTGCTCCCATACCACTGATCTGGTCCTCTTTAATCCAAGTGCATCCGCTCGGATATTCAACGTCCAAATCAGGCATACGTTGGGGTGCCATCCTCAAGACAGCCTTACGAACCACAGCTGCAAGGGCTGCTCGCCCCCTCTCTTCCGGGCTTTTTGAGAAGGATGCCCAGAGAGGCCTGACGGCCCCTTCCAACTTCACCTGCGAGGCATTGATCACTTGAATCACTCGAAGCATTCTCTGTCGAGCGTCACCATCTGACTCATGGGCACGCTTCTTGAACTGACAGAGAGCCACGGATCTACGAGCACCAGTGGTGAAAGGAGCCGTGTCCAACATCCCTTGCAGTTGCAGGCCTTTGAGGGCTTGGTCAAGCTGCTCCAGAAGCACTCCCTTGCGCGTATCAGCAGCCCAGCCGCCGAAGACAAGGGTAGATTTCCGGTCTGGGCCTGCACCAATGCCGGGACCCCCTCCTTTCTCCACTTTCGCCAACCTATCCTGAAGCTCCCTGATCTGCTCTTGCACTTCACCCATAGTCTCTCCCTGCTGCTCGAGCTTGCTCTCCACCCGGTCCATACGACCACTCTGCCGTTCCTCGAAGGCCGACAGGGCCGCACTGATCTGCTGCTGCTGCTGCGCTTGCAGGAGGGACATAGACTGTTCTGCTAAGAGCCCCCTCAAGGAGGCCATGTTGAGTACCTCCTCCGACGGCTTCTGCTTCTTGGGACTATCATGACGCTCATGCCCCTGATCCACTGCCCTTTTTGGCTCGTCCAAGTCCCTATCCATCTCATCATTAAGACTCCCGGGAAGAGGAACTTGAAGCCCCGGAACCGGCACACTGTCCATGATGTGCAGAATCGCACCCCTGGAGCCCCGCAAGAACCGTGAGCAACTAGCCCTAGCCGCCCCTCAGGAAGAACAGGACTCCTCCCTCGAGCACGAAGCACACCAAGGCCGCGCCTCCTTTGGTTCGGCACGAATGGCTGGCGTGGCTACCTTTGCGACGACCCAGCACAGCGAAGCACCTCGGGCCTTGAGCCAAAATGGCTTGAGGTTTTTAGGGTTTAGGGTGTAGGGTTTAGGGTTTAAAGCATGCAAGAAAGATCGCACACCCTAAACTCAAAGCCCCAGACCCTGAAACCCCACCGCTACTGTCTCAGTGGCTTTGAACAAACCGGCCTTTGTCCAACTGAACCTGCCAATTGCGGCCAGTCGTTCCACTCGTAGTCTTGCGCATCAGCCTCGGCAAGAGGCAGAGTGCAGACCCCAGACTTCCTTTCGAAGGCACCAACCATTCCCTCGGGCCCTCAAGCGCTCCTTCTGTGCCGGCCCGCGGCGTATCATGTAATCGACGTGTCTGGGACCAATCCAAATCGGAGGGTCATGCATCTAGAGGATCTAGAGGGTCAGACCAGGCTGACGTAAGGATGGGTTGTGGCGGCAAAGTTGACGATGGTCATGGTGATAATGATGGCCATGCTGCTGGTGATGATGACGATGACGACCAGATGATGATAATGATGACGATGATGATGACGACGAGATGATGATGCTTGTCGCAGAGGGTGCGGCGCAGACAGGGAGCACTCTGACGGTGCAAGTGCCGATGAAGGAGATGGTCGTGGTGGCGGTAGTGGTGGAGGTGGTGGCGGGGTTAGCCGCGGAAGCACTTACTGTTCTCTTTCTTCCCTTTCTTGCTGGCTGCTGCGATTCTTGGTGGGGTTCTTTGCTTCATTTTTCTTCTGCTGCTTGCTGGTCCTTCTGCTCGTCTCATCATCACTATCACCATCGCCACAAATCTCATCAGCACCGTCACTCACTGCAGCATTGATAACGATCAGGATCACTAGTGCAGATGACTGTCTCAGAACAGTTTGCAGAAGATATAGACAAGGTGCGTTGGAACCTTGCTCGCTTCATACTGCCGCCGATAGATGACCGCATACTCCGGGTAAACCTGCAAGCAGCTCTATGCTCCGAAAGTACGGTTGAGGATAGCAATCCTGCATGACCTTAAGGACCCTAAACTATGGGAAGTATGGTATATTCCTTATTATGGGGCAGTGCAGGATAAATATCTATATATATATATGTATATATCTATCTATCTATATATATATATATTCCTCACTATGGGTAGTGCAGGATATAGATAGATATATATATATATCATCAGCCGTATGACGAGATGTTCAGAGCTCCTGGCGCTTAGCTTCTGAAGTCAGCCGCTCTTGCAGCCTGCAATGGTACTCTGCGGGCCTACGCAATGCTAATAACGGGGTATTGGAGTCTACTATAGTATAAAAACACACACACACACCCATATACATATACATATATATATATATGTATGTATATAGAGAGATAGAGAGAGAGAGAGAGAGAGAGAGAGAGAGAGCGAGAGAGAGAGAGAGTGACAATAAGGCAACCCCTAAACCGTAAACCCTTAAACCTCGGCTCGCAGTCATGAAACCGGGTTGTGCTTGAACCCTGCAGGCCCCTTGTTACTAAAACTGGACACTCCAACTGCTACGCAGAACTTCAAAGGGTTTAGGGTTTAGGGTTTCGCCAGAAAAGGCCCTGAAGCCCCAAAACCTCTACTACCTGAACCCTATGGTCCTATTCTCAAGACCCTCATCTCTGAACCGGCAAACCTAAATCCTATGACCTCAAGAGGCCGCCGGACCTGACGCTCGTCGAAGAAGATGAACTCCCGGTAGGTGCCCACCTTTCAGAGCTTTCGGGCTTTCAGGGTCTTTTCCCTCAGCTTCGGGGATGTAGGCTTTCGGGATCTGCTCGCCGCTCTCTGGAAAAGGTTCAGACGTGGTTCTGCAACGCACATTCCCGAACTCGGAGGGATAGGCATGTAAGCACTCGGGATTCAGGCTAAAGCCGCGGCAGCAAGAAGCTTAAGCTCCCAACCTCAAAACCAGAGAGAAACGCTTTAGGCCAGGTTTAAGGGGTTCATTGGATCCTCGGGTTCGAGTTTCCGGGTCCATTCGAGGGGCTGTCGGCTGGAGATTCTTTTTTTGTGGGAGCGAGGACTTGTAGGCAGTTGGGAGCTTAGGTATGGGGACTGCTGATTTCCGCATAGGTCATTTAGGGCTTAGGGGTTTAGGGTTTAGGTGGTTTAGGGTGGTTTAGGGTTTAGGGGTTTAGGGTTTACGGTTTTGGGCGTAGGGTTTAGGGTTTAAGGGTTTAGGGTCTAGGATCTATACTTCTTGTCCAGTTGCCAAAGGGGGACGAAAGGTCAACCCTTTGGGATGGTTTGCGGATGATGCTGATACTGCACAGAAGGTCACAAGCTACCTGCTCTAGTAAGAGGGTAAGGGAGCCCGAATTCAGCATGTTCAAGTTGAATGGGGGAATACTGAGTATGGCAGAGTCATAGGTCCATTAAATCTCACTTCAAACAGCTTCTGGATCAAGCATGTTGTGCTTGAGCCCTAAGCTGACTCTGCAGCACAGATATGCTGCCCAGCCCATTTTATGCCAGACCCCGGAACAAGCACAGCTATCATTATCTATCACTGGACTTTGAAGTAACCAGGGAGAAAAAAAGTATAGACTTTTAATTTATAGTGGTTCCTTTAAGGAACAGGTCCAAAACAAAAGTATCCAAGTATGGTACTCTAAAACCCAGATCACTCGTCAATACCGACATCAATACCCGTGCCTTGGACTCACGGTCGCCCACGACACAGTCCATGCCAGCTGCTTTGGCGGCAGTCACCGCCTCAGGGGCGCTCACAAAGCTCCAGGGTTTAGGGGTTTAGGGTTTAGGGGTTTAGGGGTTGGTTTAGCTCATGCCATTGATTGAAAGGCTTGGAATGAGTAACCCCAGGTCCCTGGGCTCTCGTAATGACTTCCGGCACTCTAACTCTTCGAGTGTGCTGTGCCAGGCACGAGCTGCCATGTTCCGCAGAGCCAATACTTATGATTACGCTTAACTCCGAATTCCTTCATATGCAAACCCGTCGTTTCCCACGCACAAAAACTGAAGACTTCTCCAACCCCGCAACAAAAAGTAGCTGAGGCTAGGGCGTCGCCCGGGTCTTGGACGATGTAGGGGTCGCCTACCAGGCTGCGGCAGATGAGCATCGCCATGAGACCCGGGAACCTCAGCTTCCGTGGGTCTCTTTGGCGTACTGCAGGGCATCCCAGGGTGTGAAGGCGTGCTTGCTTTGACGGTTCTCGCTCTGCCTTTTCTTTGACGTGTGGGATCCCGAACTTTAGGTTGCGTAGCTGTCAAGAAGATAAAGGCCGGGGGCGCTTAAGCGGGAGGATCCACAGCGTCAACCTCATTCGAGGTGCATCTTCAAGATTGGAGAGTGAATTGCGATAGCTGATGCGGTAGGAAACTCTGGCTCCCATCTTTTGAGCCAGACGGAGACTCTAGAGTTGGGACGACTCGCAGCAGAGGGATTCTCGGCTTAAAGCAGTAGCATTTTCTCTCCAGTCTATGCTGGCGAAATCAATACTGTCATGCTGCCTATCCCTGAACCCCTAAACCCTGAAGCCCTCGCACCATGACACCCGAAGGCCTTATTACAGCCCCAAGAATGAACATCTCCAAGCCCAAGAGCGCAAGACCCGCAACCCCAAAGCGCAAACCCCGCCAGTCCTTGACACTGAAGCCCCTATCATGCAAGATCCGAAGCTCACCGGTGCAGACGAAGAATACCGTGCTAGCAGCTCATCATCATAAAAACTCTTAGTCATAGTCTTATCACGAGGGCTACTGCTACTGCTAGTACTTACACAAATTTCTCGGTGTCAGATATTAGTCTTGCTATCAGCATTTGGTTTATGAGTCACGCAATCATAACTGCTATCAACAAACTGTTGTTATCATGACTACTCTGTGGTACCGACCACCTGATTGTGCCGCAATTCAATAAATCCACAGCGCCCGAAAATCGAAAGCCCCAAGAAGCAGTGAACGTACCAATTCTGACCCGGGGCACCTTACACCCCGAAACACACACCCAAAACCCCAATCCCAAACCCTAAAATTGCAACTCCTAAATCATAACCCTAAACCCTAAAACCTCAATTCTTAAATTCAATTCCCTCACTAATCCCGAAGCCCAATAATCCAACTTCTCAGCATTCTACCTAAAGTATAACGAATGAGCTACAAGTAGTAATGGTAAGCAAAGAAGCATTGTCTTCTTCACTAGGAATGGCAACTTCTTGGTCAGTATTCGCAGTTTGCATCGCAATTGTACAATCAATGTTGCTGGGATTGTTTGCTGCAGCGGATGCTGCTGCTGTTCTCATGGTCATTGCCTTACTGTCATCACTCATGGTACGATCATTGTTTCAGAAGACGTAATTACTGCAAATGATGAACAGTACCAGGCGACGTTCCCCCGTTGTCGTCTCGTGCATATTCGTCGGACTTTGAGACGCATTCGGCCATGTAAACCTCGATGCCAGGTGGATCTTGGGCTCCCAGACCCTGCAAAATCAGTTGACTAAGGAACCGTCGACCTGTCCGGATAGGAACCCAGAGAACCCAATATCCCTCAGTTAAGGAATATACCTTAAATCATAGTACCAGGGCCCTATAATTTAAGGTATATTCCTTAAGTAAGGGGATTGGGTTCTCCGAGAACCTTAACATGAACCAGTGCCAAGAACCTGTCAGGAAGCCTGTCGGCTCGAAACCTCTGGATTCCAAATCAAGGACACCCCAAGCCCAAAACTCCCTTTTGTCCGAAACCCTCCACAGTCTAAACCCCAAGCTCGAAACTGAAAACCTGCGTAAAATCCTAAACCCTGACCCTAAATGTCCCTAAACCCGAAACCTACAAATTTCGGCCCGGACACCCCGTTTCCGAACATGGTTCCGGTGGCGCTGCCGGCATGGTCCAACTTGAAGCCGCCCTTCAGGATTGCCATAGCCTCGGTCCAACTTTAGGGTCTAGGGTTTCGGGTTAGGGCTTAGGGTTTTTGAGCTGCAGGGGTCTAATGTAGGGGCCTTAACAGGTAGAACAGGGTCCTTTAGAAGGTTCTTTCAGGTTGCTATAAGGATTCTGCGATGTTGGTGGCAAACAAGGCTTTGTGGTACATTTTACTAACAGCTTTATGGGGAGTATAATCCGACCCCGAAATTACAAGAGCACCAGGAAAAGATCATGCTAATTTTACGAAGCATGCCGTAACTAAACTCTTCACAAACTTCTCGTCACTGCCATAAGCATAATAAGTCACATGTGACAGCACTCGTAAGCAGCGCGAATCATAATGACAACAGCAGTAGCGTGGAGAAGACAAGCGATAACGGTGAGACAGTCCTTCCAAAATGCAAGCAGCAGCAGCAGCAGCAGCAGCAGCAGCAGCAGCAGCAGGAGCAGCAGCAGCAGCAGCAGCAGCAGCAGCAGCAGCAAGGACACGAAGATCGCACGGTGGCTGAAAGCGAGGCTTTGGAGGAACATAGGCCGGCTATTGGTGAAGCGGCTAGCATAGGGGCCTTCACCATTATGACAGTGTTTTGGTGTATCTTGTATTATCGCAGTTACATAGGGACCACAGGGGAATTCTATTTCCAATTACTTAGGCTTCCACATTATTCCTACTTCCTTTTTGCCTGCCGGACACCCAGCAAATTTAGCACGTGTTCTGCGATTGGGCTTGCCTGACAGGCTGTATGTTTGCCGGTGCTTGCGGGGTCCAAGCTGGACCCTTGTAATGGCAGCCAGTCGAAACCTGATCCTTAAATCCGAAACTCTTAACCAACTCCCGGAAGTGTTCCTGACCCTATACCCCAAACCCTTACACAAAACGACGCTGCATTCACTAGATGGAGCTTTTCACGAGGAGGGTGGCTTCTGCGGGATCCTGATTATGAGGACCCTTCCTTTTCGGTCAACAACAAGGCCCCTTCCGTTGTAGTCTCCCAGATATCTTCAAGGCTGAAGGCAAAACCCCGAAATCCCAAACCGCGGACCAATTCTTCTCATAAAACTTTTAAACCAACTGCAGCCTAAACCCAAGCTCCTAAACCCCCCCAAAAGAGGGAAGTAATGTTGACTGCTGAACCCCCAACAGCAGGATCTTTCTTACACCGATCCCCAAAATAAGGCATCCTAACAAAAACTAAACCCGAACCCTATACCCTGCAGCCCAAGCTCTGATCCCTATACCTATACATTTTGATGCTCCACCGCTTTTTGCTGCTGTGCCACCGACGATGGGTTGGTTCCGTGCGCCAGGTAAGACTCTCCTTCTTGCGATGGCCCTTTGTGCAGGAAACCCTTTTAAGAACCCTGAAATTCTGAAAGGAATCCCTTGCAGGAGCCCTACAATAACCCCAGGGATAAACCTTAAAGGAACCCCTTGAAAGAAACCTACAATACTCCTTACACTAATCCCTTAAAGGAGCCCCTTTTTAGGGTTGATGACCGCTTAATGGTTTAGAGATGTTTAGAGTAGAGTGTAGATGCTTACGGGTTTGGGGTTCACGGAGCTTCAAGTGCTTCGGGTCTAGAAAGAACGTAAGGGTTTACGGCCCAGATATGGTCATATTTTCATGTGCCGACAAGGGGTCTCTAAGATGCCTATGTAACGACGTAGGGCTCAGGACTTTCATTTTGGAGTTTGGGCTTAGCGCCTAAACCCCAAACTGGAGCATGGTCTTCTGCAAACCGTGCCCCTCCCTCACTGGCGGCTCTTCAAACTCCGCGGGCCCAACGCTCAAACACAGGCCCGTGCTTATAGTTAGCAAATCGCACATCCTAAAGCCCGAAAGCTCAAGCAGAGCTATGCAGTGCTGGTACTAGTATTAACACCAGTCCGACCAGGAATGGCAATTTCTATCTTGTTTACCTTTTAACCGTATAACGAGCGAAAAGTCATGACCGAGACTAAGCCGACAACACAACATAGAAGATCATCAACAGACTTATCAACCCTATTAGTAGTAAGCATAATCATGACGACACAGGTTTGAAACTCGCAGCGGCCACAACAACAAGAACAATATTAACAACAATAACGACACGACTAAGCACACGAGGTCCTTCCAGTAGTCGCTCGTTGATCATCGACCCGGCTCCGTGGCTCTTGGCCTGCAGCAGCTCTGGAAAGTGCGAGGCGCCCCAGGTTTCAGCGGCAGCGTTTTACAGTTGGGGGGTTTTTCGGGTTTCGGGTTGGGGGGTGCGGGGCTTTAGAAGCTTTACCCTTTTAGGGTTCAACGTGGCCATGCTTCCAAACAACAGCCATGCAATCAGCAGTCATACCGGAGACACTGCTACGTTATGATGGTTGAAGTTGTCATCTTCTTTCAGAGTTCTCCTAGGGCTGAGTTTCTGGAGCTCCCTTCTACTAGGAACTGCTACTGCCGCTCACTGGTACCACTGCTGCGATTGCTACTGCTACCCGACGACGACGACTTCTGCTACTAACACACCGGCTGCCTCGGCGTCTGCCGCTGCTACTGCTACTGCTACTGCTACTGCTTTTCCTGCTTCTACCACTACTACTACTACT